AATGAGTCAAATAGTAAAAAAGGGCAGGCTGTTTTGCATAACATTTAATTAGTTATAATTATCAATCACATTAAAAATGTGGTAAATTAAGACCGCATCCCATGAGCCACTAAGACTTAAGCAGTCTGTCACTTATCAATTCTTGCCTAAACCACTAGGGCTGTCAAATGCACATTATCTCTTTCTAAAGATTTACAAGTTTATTACCAAGAGATAAATAGCATTTGCAGTGAAGYTCCAACATTAAGACATGGCTGTTATCAGCTTTTATTCTTTTTACCCATTCATGCAGTCCTAACAGCAAATGACCGCCTCACTAACTTCAACAGAATAAAAATAAACCAGCAAGAAAAGCATATGCTAAGCCGTTTTGTCGAACTAGGAGAGCGTCCGAGGATYTTGCAGGATGACAAGTTCTAAACACCTTCTCTCTACAAGATACTTTGTGTCAACGAAAGCCGGAAAACCGCCATGTCAAAGAAGACAAACATTCCTAACAAGTAACACTTTCCAAGTATACAAATGTTCAATCATTGCTACAGAATTGTCACATGTTGTAAGGAACCCCGCCACCTTGTATCTTTTTTCCCTCCATAGCTGGGTAGGCTTAAGTTTAAAAAAAAAAAAAAAACCATTAAAAACTGTAACTGAAGTCTATTTACTTCCCTTGTGTAACACTTTTCTGAACACCTGCAATAGTGCCAAAGATAAACTAGATTCAAATGGAACCRACACTTCCAACCCCTTCTCACAATAAAGGCAACACAGATCCTCCAGCACCTGTACTAGGCTGAATCAGCCTAGCTATTTCAACCCAGTTAAATGTCCTTAAGAACACTAAAGGACACACTGCAGATAAGTATCAKAAAATCTGCTCTGATCTGAGTCTTACTCTGGACAGAGATCAAACAATAAATGTTCTCTCAAAAGGAAAGCTTATAGCTGCAACATTTCCTGTGAAGTGATTTCTTTACAGAACATGTTATTTCCTGAATTTCCTTCTGCATTTGTAATTCAACAGTGAAGGTAAAACTTTGTCAGCAATGTTGGGATGATTTTTTCAGAGAGGTAGAAGATGTAGGAAAATTAATTATAATTAGTTTTGACAATGCTCTGGCTGTTGGSAACTGGGCTCCCTTCCCTTTCTTGAACAGCCTCTATTTACCACATTGTCATGCTTACCTACTACTTGATGATGTATTTGGAGAAAAAAATATATCTTGATTAACCTATTCACTGCTCCCACAAAAGAAAAACATCAGCCTTATGAAAACTTGGCATCTAGGGAAGAGTAAGAACAGGGCAAGGATATATGATGATATTTCTGCACCCTCCAACAGTCAAATATTTTCAGGTCTTGGTGAAATCTGTGCATTGACACCTTATCCTTCAAGCACTTACAAGCACTTGTCCAGACTCTCCTTGTAACAATAAAAAAATTCTTCAAAACGCAGTATTTATTGGCATGAGAATAAGCCCTATTACACTGCATGAAGAGCTGAATCCTTTTATTCGTRTTGAACCTAACTCCTACTAGACAGCTCATAGCTGCTGTACTGGAAGAGAGGGGGAGTATTCAACTCCMTCTCTGTGCCATTTAATGATTTTGTAGGTGTCTGTCATACTTTGCATCTCAGCCATCTCTTTTGCCMTTCTCAATATTTCCTCTTGAGCCCTGCCATCCATCTCTGAATGTCCTGCAGTTACAACCTATCCTTTTCTGCATGAAGGGACCAGAAGCAAAAATGTTCATCTTCTGTTGTCTTCCCTTAGGTGATTTTAGTGGTGCTAAAAAGAGTAACCGAAACATGCAACTTTAACCCAGCTGGCCTTCCAACTTAGAACGAAAGTAGAAGTATTAGTGGATGGGAGTCACCAATAATTATTAGCTCAATGTTATCCATTATGAGTAATTTTACACCAAGATCAGCAATAGGCCTATTTCATCAAGCAGACTGTAAGAAGAGCACGTACCAGCCATCCCCTCACACTTTTAAAACACAGTTACCAACCATTAGTACAGCTTTCAATTATAGAATAATTATTTTCACAGAAATGTGATTTTATATAACTGTGATGTACTTTGAAACAAGGACTGAGCAGATTTCTACAGAAAAATGAAATACATATTGCAGCAACATCTTAGGGCTATATTTGATACGCACACTTTAGCAGCCCACTGCTGTCAGCTGAATGTGCTAACAACTATGCCTGCTAATACAGCAGGGACCAATTCCTCTTTAAAGCATATGTAAGTCTAAGGCCAGTTAACAGGCCAAAATTCTGAACCAGAAAGAGGCACAACAATTAGAATATAGAACACCAATCGTGTAAGATTTACAGCTGCCAAAAATGCAAGCTATTGTTTATATTTGTTGTATGAATAACCCTTCTAGCCTCCCATCTTTTCTTACCCACTCCTTGTCCTTTGTACAATAAATATCTATGCACTTAAGAGTATTTGACCCATATTCCTATCAAAATAACATTCKCACAAGTAAACTGACATTAATGAACTGTAACTTTGCTTTCCTACAAACTCAGCTTCCTGTTTTTCCAGGCCTGTACTTAGAGAAGACTTGAGACTTACACTAAAACACCATGTCTTTTACACTTGTGGASTAAGGGTTTTCTAATTCTACAGAATTGGGGTGAATTCCTGAGGGATGTCTGGCAAGCTTCGACTGCCGACCAGTGGGACACTATCGTTTTTAGATGCAGAGGGTTTTGAGAACATGTTGCACATGAGACCCGCAGTTATTTCTCAAACCCTAAAATCCAGAAACAAATTCTACAGTTCTACAAAGAAATGACCAGTTGCTCCTCAAAGTAGGTTGTGGTGCTGAAACACAGATCCAGTGTGCTGTGTTCTGAAAGCCTCAGCTTGAAGTTGTTACTTTTTGCAGCCATATGCACCTCATCTATGTTCTCAAGTAAAGGTTATATACAATACTATAATCAAACATCCTAATATGGAGAAGACTCACACCCTTTWCATCTTAGTTAGCATTTTGTCTGAGACAGAGGCAGAAGCAGTCCTTGATGYGCTGATGGATACCCCTTCCAGGGCACAGCCTGGCAAACAGTTTTGAACTGAACGTGCTGCTGACACCTCTTTTCTCCAGCTGCTTGTTTCTACAGTGGCCCTGGAGATTTATCTGCACCAGAACAGTATTTGTAAAAAACAGATCGAAGAATGGATCCAAGGACAAATAACTTCACCAGAATTTTAATTTTTAAAAATTCAGATGAGTTCCCTGATGCCAGTCTCKGAGCAACTACATCAGCCTTTGTGCTGGCATGACAAAGGGAAAACCTGTTGCTACAGGAGTGGTGAAAAGCACACCCAGTGCTACTTGCCACTTATCATTAACACTCAGGAAATATAAAAGACATCAATTAGTATTTCTTTGAAACCTGCACAAGRCAGCCTGCTGGATGCTGCAATTGAAGAAACCAGATTTCTAGGACTCTAAGGGGTAAACAGTTGCAGTTACTATATATAACACAACATCTATACACAAATATGATAAATTGTGAGAACATCTAAAATCATTAATGACAACAAAGTGAAAGATTCCATCCACCTCTTGGTCACATTGTAAGAAACCTTTCTGAGCAAAAGGCAGCAGGACAGTAACSGTGACAGTTATCATGGTAAGATACCTGCTTTTGGTTAGAAATTTGTTGCCTGTGGAAAAAAATCTCACAGCTAAACCAGCACCTTCCCCGCCTCCCTTTCTGGTATCACAAAAGTGAGCCACACATGGGATACTGAACTTGGAAAACGGTTCCCCAGGCAATAACGAAATAAAAATACCAATCAGTTCAGGCTGCCCTTTAGAACAGGATTCAGTTGCAGTCGCCCTATCCTATATCGACTTCACCCAGGAAAACCACACACGTGGAAAGACATCTTATACATGGAACAGCACAAAAGTATGTATGAAATTGCATTCAAGGCACCCGAATTCTCCAGAAATTGAGATAACAAGCTTTAATAAACGTAACCCGCGCAGCTGGAATCCACAGGAGATCCCCGACACACGCCCTCCCCTCCACAGCYCCAACACCCACACCACAAAACAAGGCAGGGCAGGGCCAAGAGGCGACAATACATCCCTGCCGGCACCGTGCCCTTTCCTCCCCGCTTTCTCTGCCTGGGGCTGCTCCAGGACAGTCCCCAACACTGCCCCAAGGCCGGCGGTGTGGACACAGCGCCAGGCAGGCGGGCGGCCCGGGCCCTGSAGGGATGCCTACCTTCACGGCTACTTCCGGGGCCGCATCGACGGCTAGGGCCGGGGGCGCGGCGGGCGGCGCCCGGAGGTGCAGCACGGCATCGCGGCTGGCGATCACGGCGGCAGAGCGCTGGGAACCGCCATCGGCTTCGGGCTCCGAGTCGGGCTCCGAGTCGGAGCCGCCGTAAGAAGCGAGCGCGGCGATCGCCGCCGACATCTTGGCGCGGGGGATGACGGGATGGGCAGGTCCTGGCAGCTGCGTAGAGCTCGAAGCGTCCCTTCCCCCGCAGAACGAGTGAGGTTGTGCTACGTCTTGAAATTGTGACTCGTTAAAACGGAAAATACGCTCTAAAGGATAAATTACAGTCATTTACGGCATATACAAGCGTCTGAAGGGCGATCATGCCCCTTGGCTGTTGATGGTGCTTAACCTTTCAGGACTCCATGACAGGACTACAAGCTCCAGCATGCAACGCGGCGCCGAGCTTGGAAGTTTCCCCCCAGCTCTCGCCTGCGCTTTGCGTGGCTGCAAGGGAAAACATTCAACAGCCCGAGGACAGCACCCAGCCACTCACTTCTTGCCGCACATAAAGCGTCTTCGCCATCTTTYCGGCGGAGAGGCCGGCCCAACAGAACTCCCAGTTGTCACCCCCGCGCTCCCACCATCCCGACCCCGCACCGTGCCCCGGGGAGCCCCGCCCCTTCGCGCTGATTGGCCGTCAGCACACCCGGCTTTGGTTACGTCACRGCGGCGGGGTCCCGCCCCGCCCGCGCCGGGTAGAGGGAGCCCGGCGGGCCGGACTGTACCACCTGCCCGCCCGCGGGGTAGGGGGCGGYGGCGCATGGACCAGCCCGAGCATCGGGCGGTGGTGGGGGGGCGGCCGGGTTCGGCCGCCGGGTAAACAGCGCTTCCCCCCCGCTCCCTCCCGCCCGGCTCGGCGCGCCGGGAAAGGCCCCGCCCCCCGCGCGCGCACACACGCGCACACACACAGAGACACGCGCGCTCTGCCCGGTGTCTATTGTGAAGCCGCCGGGGACGCTCCGCGCCCGCCGCCGCCGCCCCCTGAAACGCGGAGCCGCCAGCCGGGAATGGCCGGCGCCGCCTGAACTTCCAGCGCCCCGGCGGCCGCSGAGGGAGGGGCTGAGGCTGAGGGCGAGCGGCGTGAAGGTGCGAGGCGAGGGCAGGCGAGTAAGTGCCCCCCATCCCCGTACCCTCCTTCCCTCGCGGTGGCTGGGGTGGGCGGGAGGGACCGGCTCCCGGTCCCCATCGCCGGCGGGGCTGCGGGACGCTCCTACCCCACAAAGGGACCGGCGCTCGCCAGGTGTTGGTCCCCTCCCCTTTGTCCGCGCCCGCGCGGGGAGCGGCAGCGGGAGGGAAGGATGGAGGGAAGGAGGSAAGCACGCCGCGGAGCCGCTTTTCCCCCTCTCTCCGCCGCCCCCGCGGGCAGGGGCATGAGGGGGGCGTGTTGCGAGGCGGAGGAGGGGAGGGGGCCGCACTTGTGCCGGAGCGCGGCGCTTCGCTCTCCTTCTCCCTCTCCCGGCCGCGCCGTGTGCCCGCGGCCGGCGGGATCGGCCGGCGGGGAAGGTGCGGCGGAGCGGGGCCGGGGTCAGCGCGCGGGCGGGCGGGGGGCGCGGGGTGACGTCACCGCCGCCAGGTGCGGGGAGAGGCGCCCCCTCCCCTCCCATCCCATCCTCTCCCATCCCATCCCCTCCCTCCCGCCCGTCCGCGCCGCGGGGACCGGGGCTGCCGGGGCAGAGGTGCGCACGGGCGGTGCGATTGCCGGCCGGAGCGCAAGGGGATTCGGTCCGATTCCAGGGCAGAGCTGCCTGCTGGAACACTGCTACCATTGTTAGCAGGGCTTGGAGATCGCGGGGGATGGCCGGGAGCGAGGAGAAGCACGTAGAGAGAGAGCAACTTCTCTCATCCCGCTCCCCAACGTCTTCCTGCGCGCCCGCCGCGCCCGCGGACGAGGATAAACGGGAAGTGCGGAGCGCTGGCCAAGGGCTGGCTGGAATGCCAGGTGTGTGCATTGCACGCGCTTGCACCTGGAGCGGTACGGTGCCSTGACTTCCTTTCGAGCTGCATGTGCTTTCAGAATTAAAGTGAGCACACAGTGACATCTAATTGTGACACAGTGGCATTTAATCTGATTAAATGCTCTAGTTTGAATTTTCCATCCTTTTCAKCAGTCACGGTTTGAAACAGTTGTTTTCTTATATTGAGAAGGTATCACTTGAATTAATTTGTTTTTTCTAAAAAAGAAGGATAAACGTAGAGGGCATATAGAAAATGTTGACAGCATGGAGTGGAGCAAGGTGCTGCGTTTAGATCTGTTCTATTAGRCACAGGTATACTATGTCTTTGTATGCTAAAATCAGGATTTTAGGTAAAAGTCCCACACATTTCAACACCAAGACCTTTTGTTTGCATCTCCCGCAGCTGAGATATACTACACTGAACTAGCATTTCATATGGTAATAAGCTGACTTTTTCATCTTGAATCTRTGGATGATGAATCTCTAAGTAAGGAAAGCTATGTGATGCTTCACATGAATTRCTGCTTGTTAATATGAAAAGTGGTTCTTCCACTGCATTCATTTGATTTATTGGCAGTAATTGTTAACTGATTCCATATGACTGCATTCCTTTTTCTCTGGGCATGCAGATCATAGGTGTTGTCTGAAGTTAAAAGGTGTGYTTCCTGAAAAGTGAAAAATGTCAATGTCTGTTTGTGCAACCAATCTGGTATTCTATCTGGAGAACTCTGTTGAAAACCATTAAAGTAGTTCTGCCTTGTTATCCTTGAATTTTAAGTGTTTGATTCACAAAGCCTTGGTAGTTGGCTTAAGTATGTTCAGTTGTGTTGTGTCCAAGCATCCTAGCTTGCTTGCCAGTGAAATRTAATCATCTGGGGATTCTAGATGCTTTTGTTGTAGAACCCACGAAAATTACTTACTGGTTTAAATTAGCTGCCTTTCTGGTACCATCAGGCTAGTAGATAAGCGAATGCATGAGAAGGCATTCAGGGGAATACTCTCTGAAGTTCCTCATTGCTTAAATAGTACCGAAGACTACTTTTCAGCAAGCATGCTGGTGTCACTCCTGGGTATGAAAAACTGACTTGRCTATGGTTTAAAAGTGTAGACAGCTGACAAACACTGTTATCTAAAATCTGGTTTTGTCAAAAAAGCTGAGGAATTGCTGCYGGTCATTTGTGTTGAGCTAATATTCTAGCTCTTGATCTTGACTGTTAATTGCATATYTGTGATTTCAAGAAAGGGTTGATTGGTATAAAACAAGCCAAAAGAATGATAAAACTTTTCTGAAAAGGTCTGCGCATTGGTCACTGTGTGCTGTGTGCTCTCTTTGAATTGAGTTCCACTGAATGAATTATGTTATGCATTGGATGCTGCTGGTTCTGACGGCAGGCTGAAGTAGTGGGTGGAAGGTGGTTTGGGTTGCTTAGCATACCTTTCTGTCCAGCTTTTTCACTGATGCTTTTCCTTGCAGTCACTTTGCTTCTCTTGCTTTCATTTTCCAAAGGAAGATAAAACTGTACAGGACTTTTACATATCAAGAGGGCCCTTTTAACACCTGTTATTACTCATAGTGATAAATACTATACCAAGTACTACCGTGTCTATTCCCCTGGTGAAAGGAAAGAGGAAGAGTGGTTCCTTGAATAGTAGAAGCCTGGCTTTTACCTTTCTTTCTTTTTTTTTTTTTTTTTTTTTTTTTTTTGTTTTTTTTTTTTTTTTTTTTTTTTTTTTTTTTTTTTTTTTTTTTTTTTGTTTTTTTTTTTTTTTTAATCTTGAGAGTAGCTGGATTTTTTTTTTTTTTTTTTAATCTTGAGAGTAGCTGGAAGCTCTAATGGAGTTTTCTTTAGTACAGTCTGATCCTTTTGTAGATTGTCTAATGTCCAACAAGGTGTTAAGGCATTCTGAATCCTTTTCCTTGGTCAGGACACTCACAGCATCTTGATTTGCACAAGCTTAACGTTTTATGGGTATCTTTGAGAATTCTACACCTCTGACAAATTTGGATTCAGCCAGCCAGTTTCCAACTGGAGAAACACCCATCAAATACCCGCCCCCCCGCAGCACACACACACTTCCTGTATAAGACTGATTTGCTTCATAACTTGGGGTGCAATATATTAAATTTTAACTCAACATTTCACAAATTTTCTGTCACATCTATCTTTTTCTTCCCTATAGTTGACAATGAAATTTGTTTCCTTCTGCTTTTAAAGTATTTTATCCTACTTTCTTTCCCATTTACTTATTCTTTCATAGTTCTTTTTTCGTTGCTTTTCATGAGGAATGTGCTTTATCTCACACCCTGTGTTTTCAGTTGGTTTTTCTTCCCCRCAGAAAGTGATGCATATAATCCTGCTCATTCTATTTTTTTCTTTATGTTTTTTAATACTCTAAAATTGCTATCAGCCCACTTGCATATACACTCACTTCTATCCACCCCAATCTGTAAGTCTGCAGTTTGGAGGAAAGGGAGAAAAAAACCAGCATGATACTTATCAGAGAGAGGTTTGAACTAAAATATGAGGGTCTATTGTCTGTGGGAAATACAGCATTTGAAAGAAAACGAGTTTTTTGCCTTTGTTCATATGCTTTTKGCTGCTGAGAAAAGGTATCATGATGGAAGTATTTATCAGGTGACTCCCACTGCATTTGGATTGGGCCCTTTCATAAACAGCTGCTTGTGTGTCTGATACATCTCAATGTGCTCTAATTTAGATGCTTGGAGAGTGAAGCACTTTTTATAACTCCCGCTCTGCTATTTCTACCACCTTGGAGCCTCTGACTGCTGCAAGGGTGATAATACCTCTTTTCTAGTTTTTGTTTTTTTGGACTATGTCCCGGATTCTGAAAGATACCAAGGCGCCAGATTGCAGAAAGGGTTCTCTGTTCCAGTACATCTGCGAATCAGTCTCTTTAAGTTTTTTGGAAGGGATCTTGAGGTTGTCTGACACAGATTACATGCTATATATTTCATGTTTACAAGGTGTGGTTTCAAAGAAAGAATGATATGGGATAAGACTGGAGCAACTTAGGCTGTTGTACTCATTTCAGATGACTTTGCAAACAAAGTAGTATTTGTTGCAGAGCCACTTTTTCCCTAGAGGATGGAAGCTGTGCAGCTTCTTCRAACTGCTCAACTGCATATGCAGTGCTGTGAACTGCATCTTATAGCGCAAGCTGAACAAATTCTGTGTCGGAGAGAAAATTAGAAAACTAATTATAGATTTCTAGGAATATAAACTTAATTAGCATAATTACAAATTTATACTGAATTTCTTAATTCTCTGAAAAATGTTTTTTTAATCACTTAAAGGACAGAAAATGTCATCAAAAGTGCATACATTTCTCAAAATTTGTGCCTGTGTTTTTGGGGGAAGCTAGATTGACAGCTTGCTTATACTAGTCTGTTGGTGTAATAAATTACCTTACGCATTCAAAGAACTACAAAATAAATGTAGTTACATTTTAGCAAGCAACTTAACTTAAAGAGCAGAAATAATGAAAAATTTTCAACGAGTTTATACCTTTCTGTTGGTTGACTTTTCAGTTAAATGCGATGTTTGCAACATGAATTTAGTCTTCTGACAGCTGGCTCCATGCAGAAGTAAACTATTAAAAATGCCCTAGCAGTATGATATTTAAAACTTATTAGAAAACAGGAATCTATTCTAAAACCAGGTGTGGTTTTTGGCATATTATAAAAGGCATTAAATTCTATTGAAGCCATTTTTTTATAACTAAGGCATTTTTACTGTGTTTCCCCCTTTTTATTCTGCTCTGTGGTAAGCTTTATTCATTTTCTGAAAGTATTAATGGAGTGCCTGTTCTCTATTTGGCTCTTGTTTTCACAAATTTGAAGAACAAATTYGGTAGAAAATTGTTCAATAGATTTTAAGTTACTCAAGGAGAGTTTCCAACAAATACTCTGCAAGTGATCTCATAAAGATTGCGGAGGGAACAGGTCTGGAAATGAAAAGGAATGCACATGTAATTCTCATCCTTTGCAATCACAACTTCKTGTTGATAGGAGTATGTGATGACAATAAAGACTGATGGTAGACTCAGTAGTACTAACTGAAATTAGTAATGTGGTACTGCTTCTGCAGTGACAAATGTGCCTCACTAATCTACCTTTTGATTGCAACAGTA